GATGATTTGAAAGCAGTAGAAAGGATCATCATGGATCAGATGGTAACCAGGAAAAGGTTTTAAAAAGCTAAACTAGCAAGTAAAATTACAGGAAGCAGGCTGGCTATGCCACAGGATGGACTTCAGGAAAGGTCTGAACATCTGAACAAGAGTTGTCAGAAGCAGAACGCTTTAGCAAATACAAAAAAAAAAAAAAAAGCTACCAAACTGTACAAAATGTTGTTTTAGAGCCTAGAGCTAATTCACATGGAAAAAAAAACAAATGGAATCTGAAGAAGGGAACTAAGTAGAGACTAGCCATGTTACTAATTCTTCTTGAGCTAGGGAGATAAATAGTTCACATGACCTTCCTGGGAGGCCACTGAACAGTAAGTTTACCCTGTTCTGGATGCTCACCTCTATGTACATGTTTCCATGGAGCTCAGATATTGCTGTTCGGGGTAACCCGCTCCGCAAGTGCAGCCCATCACAGTTTTGAGACACCACGTGCTGCACCTTGAAGAGAATAAAAGACTGAGCTACCACACAGCAGAACGCTTTGAAAGTACCACTCAGATGAGGGCAATGGTCACATCTGAATACACAGCACTTAGTTCTGCTCTGAGATACTGAGCTAGCAGGAAAAAAAAAAAACACAGCTGTCGTAAATCTCTCTCTTCTGTGCTAAGTAAAAAGACTTCTGCTGCTGCATACAGCTCTAGTAGGTCTGGACGATCTTGTGGCTGTGCCAAACGAGCTTCACTAGGAGGAAAATATAAAGTATCCCAGAAAAGCTACCAGTGGGAAAGCTGCCAGAGCTGCAGCCTGGAGCTCACCTGTTAAGTTGTATGGTGGCTCCTCAGTGGGTGTGTAGCAAGCTGAGTAAGAACAATAAGTAGCTAATCTCATGGAAAGCTTTGTTACTTTCTTTTTTCTCCCCTTTTCTGTGTTGGGTTGCACTTTATTCAGATGGGGCAGCGGAGCACAAGTGGGATACTGAAAAATCTTACCAGATTGTGCTTGTGCAGGCAGGCAATGCTCATGTGAGTGAGCGTGGGCTCTGCCTCACTCAGATCTGTGGTCCTGACAAAAACAGGGAAAAAAAAATAGACTATGAGTTGTCATTAATCCCTCTTTCAGATTTAGCTCAGAATTGGCTTCCTGAGAGGCTGCAGAACTGTCACTCCAGGAAAGGAAAGAAGTTCCATGAAGTCACCTCCGTACCTGATGCTCCTGCCCTTCTGCAGTAACGTCCATATGCCATTAGGGCCTCTGTAGTCTGGGATTGAGGCTGCCTGTGTTATTGGGAGAGATGAAGGGAGACCTGACACGAACGTTCATACCTGTTATCCAGCCCCAGTCTTATAAATGCATCAAACTTGTCTCGCTCAGGACATCAGGTCCCTCAGTCACTAATGCTTTTCTGTTCATCTCAAGTTTTCCACAGCAATGGTTCCCTCATCACAGAATAACCATCTGTTCATATGTTCTACCTCTCTTCCCACCTTACAGCCCTAACATTTTCATCTTGAGTATTTATTTTCCTCCAACTTTACAATGAGGAAATCCACCCAGTCTCTTCTCTCTTTTCCTCAATGCTTTCGATTTCCCTATAAAAAACTCAGTTCTGAAATTCTTCCTTATTTCTGGTAGACTCAGTGACTCCTGGTAGTTCATGTATATGTTCCTTAGAAACACGTTTGAGACATAAGTGCTCATATTCCCTGCCCAGAATTGTGTCCAAATCAGCAGAAACTAAGGCAAGAAAAGATCCTGTCACAGAGTTCAGAAAAAGATGGCACGTGATACTTTCGAAGAGACTCACACAGGTGCCACACAAAACAGCATTTTTAACCATAGTTTATAATTTTAATAAACACTAGCTGTTCCTACTTGTCCTTTAACGTAGCATTAATTAGCTAATTTGCTTAGGCTTCACACCAAAAGTAGCTGAAAAAAAGATTTGAACAAAGTAAGACTCGCGATCCTTGCATTTAAGGGTGTTCTTGCCACAGCTTACGCAGCCTTAAAGTCTTCTTGGCAACAGGTACAAGCCGACAGTGCGAATTAGCAAACATCCTGACCACGGCCTGAACGCAGCCTGTTCAGCGCGCGCGTCCGGCAGACACTCAGACCCCAGGAGAAAACCCGCCC